GCGACATTCCAGATCGTGGCCATAAAGTGATGCTGGTCTGTCGGTATAGGATCAGTGGCCCCGTTTGGCACAGGTTTATTTTATTTATTGCTGCCTTTGTCGGATAGACTCAGTTGTTTTTGTTCTGTCAGATGGGGCGTCACAGGAGTACATGTCGACACACAAAGGCAGGTGTTGGTAGCCATGGTGTGTGAAAAGAATAAGGCTTATTGTGATTATTATAATTCATGACTCAAAAAATAAAATTAAGCAATTATAATTTGTATATATGTCTGTGTGTGTGTGTAAAAAAAAAAAAGAAATGTAAACAGAATGAGGAACAAAGAGGCAGCAGCACTAACCAGATAACACCAGGGTGTAGACATCCTTTGTTTTCATCTGCCAAGTTAGTCCTGTTGCACCTCCCAATAAGCACAGCCGTGAGTGCTCCTTCTCTCTGTTCTCACTTTACAGCCCTTACTGCCTCTGTCATCCAGGCTGCACACCAGTTTGTGGGGAGAGGTGGGATAAAGGTTGTTAAAACCAGGTTGGAGTGCAGTTCCAGTGGAAGAGAGATACTGTATAATAAGACACACACTGTGAGAATACTCAGCTGTGCCCTCAGGCCTTGGACAGCAAAGAAAAATTGTTCCGAATGAATTGTTTCGAGTTCTTACAGCTCAAAGAGCATAGAGTTCATAAGGGTCAAAGCTGTAGTTTCTCACCCCTTCTATAAGAAATCCAATGAGTGGGCAATAAAACAGGGTAACAAAACAACAACACTGATGATCTCTCTCTTCTCAGAAACATCAGCACCTTAATACTGCAGATATTACAGTGTTCTTTCTGGCAGATATTACAGCACTGCTGAATAGATGTAATTAGCTTCTGTAAGCACATTGAGTTGCTGCTGTACAGTAGATAAGGTTACGCTGTCATTTGGTATTACGCAATGATAAATCCACCACCACCCAGACAAAACACAGGCCCTGTTGCTCTGTAACATTCATCTCTGTGTGTTCTGTCTTCAGCATGAGCAGCAGCAGCAGATGTGCTGTGAGTGTTTTTCTATAATGAGTACATAACCTGATGGAAGCAGATTAGTGGAGGATTATAGCACAGTTTGAAGGATTTGACTGCTGTCCAACTGTGGATCTGACTCCTGATAAACTTTTGTCACTGGCCGATTCATTGACTGAGACACTCTGGTAACATGGAAGAAGATGAGGAGCCAACATAGACTCATTGAATTTTGAAGAACAACACGATACCCTCCTCCCCTTCCTCTGACTCAGCACTAGAGCCTTGGACAAATGAGGAGAGTGGACCTGCAACAAACATCCGAGTGTGCAGAAAAAGCAGATGCGTGCCGATCTGGCCGTACGCCTGTTGCTGTCAGAACTCCAACTTGTGGATGTTTGACTAGGAGACATATCACTGACGGAGGCAAATGATCATATTCTTTTTACATAGTTCCACATATTTTGATCCTTTTTGACCATTTTCTATTGGAAACTTTTCTAATTTGTTTTAATCATTTTAATAGTCAGACTTGGACACAAGAAAAGTCATTTCATTGGTTTTATTTTCTGCTCCATATTTACTGTACCGTATGCACCTTAATCCCAAAGAAAGTCAGGTCCATAGTTATTATTCTGGACTCACCAGCAGGTCAAGGCACTGTACACATCAGCAGTTTTACTTCAGAGTTTCTAATATCTGTGAACAACGTCAAACAAAACGGAAACCCATCATCATCTGTTTCTAGCACCTCACACTGAGCTACCATGGCCAGACAGGACATTCCTCTCTTCTTCCATGCTTTCGAGCTCAGTGGTCACTTTGTTGACCTCCGACCCCTTGGTACTGGTGTCACTGGCTTGGTACTTTCAGCTTTTGACCAGCGTAATGGGCAGCGTGTGGCGATTAAAAAACTTGTAATGCGTGACACCGTGACAGTGAAACATGCCTTGCGGGAGGTCCGGATCACACACCGGTTGTGTCATGAAAATGTGGTCCAGGTTCAAGAGGTTTTAGCACCATATGGACGCCCATTGCCCCGAGACCCAGCCCATCTCAGTGCCATGTACATAGTCCAGGAGTGCATGGAGACGGATCTGGCTCGGCTGCTGGAACAAGGGCCGCTTCCCACAGGTACACAATAACAAAAGTGTGTTGTCTGTGTAACAATTTTTCATATTAGATATGTCAGTTTGATACTAAATTTTACAACATTTCACAACATGGACTTCTATGTTTCTGTTTTACCCTAAGCAAATTATGTATACATTGGAACCTCGGTTTTCTAACTTAATTCGTTCCTTAAAGCCATTTGTGAGCTAAAAAAGTTCACGAAGAACTGAAACAATTTTCTCCATAGGAATCAATGTAAAATTGAATTAATCTGTTCTTGTACCATGGATGATTGCTTATTCAAACTTTTTCAACAGCATTTTGCGTACAGGTTCAAACATGAAACCAATGAAAATAATTAGATTCAACAAAAAAAGATAAACACAACTGAATAAAGAGCAAAGCTTCAAATAGGAAAGGCATTTTCATTCATCCCTAATGGTGCTGAGGAGTCATGACTGCACTTCATGTTCGCTTCGCTTTCTCACAAATATGGTCTCTGAAATAGTTGCCAGCCAACTGCCTTTCATTGATCCAAATCAGTAGCAACTTTTCCATTCTTCCAATGTCTGAGATTAGTGATGGGAAGACCGACTATTTTATTGATTCGAATCTTTGACTCTCGAACAGTAAAATAAACGGGTCGTGAACGAATCTTGAACTAATCATTTCATTCGTTTTACAGCGGGTGGCGCTTTAGCCGTATTGTGGGCGTTGTAAAGAAGGCTGCGGTTCTCCGACACTAAACACTGAAGGTAACATGGTTTGCTTCCGTTGACAAAGTCTACAAAGTACACAAAATGCCATAAGCAATTAAAACCATGCGGAAAGCTAAGAAATACAAACACACAACAATGTGAAGATGAATAAGAGCAAAAGAGACCCGAGCTCTGAAATGAAACGAATCTGCGAGAACGAAGCGAAAGATTAGTTCACAGCGAAAGATTAGTTCACGGCGAAAGATTAGTTCACAGCGAAAGATTAGTTCACGGCGAAAGATTAGTTCACAGAGAATGATTCGTTCACGGCGAAAGATTAGTTCACAGCGAAAGATTAGTTCACGGCGAAAGATTAGTTCACAGAGAATGATTCGTTCACGGCGAAAGATTAGTTCACAGCGAAAGATTAGTTAACAGAGAATGATTCGTTCATAGCGAAAGATAAGTTCACGGCGAAAAAATGGTTCACGGAGAATGATTCGTTCACAGCGAAAGATTAGTTTGCAGAGGAATTAGTTCACAGAGAGTGATTCGTTTGTAATGAAAGATTAGTTTGCAGAGGAATTAGTTCGCAGAGTGTGATTTGTGAGTGATTCGTGAGTTCAATATGAACAATTATTTCATATGACTCGGGAGTCACGAGTCACGAATCTTTCATATGACTCGGGAATCACTCGCGAACGACACATCACTAACTGAGATCTTTACTTGGTGATTACAGTCACTCCTTTGGCAACCTTAGCTTCTTTTACTGCTTCGTTGTTTCTAAGGATGATACAAATTGATGACTTTGCTAAGCCATACTGTAAAACCAGATCTGAAATATAAATGCTATACTCATGCTTTCGTATTATCTTTATTTTTATTTACTTTATTTATATTCACTTCTATTGTTCTTCTCATAGTGGTTTTTGGAATAAAGAAATTAAAAGAAATACCAGCAAAACCAGACAACAGTTCTTAGCTTGTATGACCAGAGCACGGACTGATGCCACACACTCAGTCACGTTTGTGTGGTATTGTTGGCCTGTCCAGCAACCGAGTTATGGTACAACAACCGGGGCAATTTTTAGTTCCAAATTTTTGACAACCAAGGTTCCACTGTACTGTAATCACCACTTCTTCGAGGAGCACTTTCCTCTGACTTAGACTTTTTTTTAGAATGAGCAACAAAAAGATGACCTAAATCAAAATAAGTCAGCATGTAGAATGTGTTTTACCAAAGGGAGTATATCCCAATAATTGGATTGCTTATTTATGTCAAGTAACATACATTTCCTGATTTCTGATTTTCTTTGCATTGGTGCAGAACATGCTACTCTGCTGTTCTACCAGCTGCTGAGAGGACTCAAGTTCATCCACTCAGCCAACGTCCTGCACAGAGACCTGAAGCCTGCCAACATATTCATCAACACGGACCAACTGCTGCTCAAGGTCGGAGACTTCGGGATGGCTAGGATAGTTGACCCTCACTATTCTCATAAGGTAATGGCAAAAAAGAAACATTGAGTCAGAATTTGAATCAGTCAACCAACAATCAAGCTATAGTAAATATACAAAATACAAAAATATGTATGCATGTTAGATATTAGTGGGTTAAATATATAATATATAATTATATTACATTTACTTTATATATTTAATCAATAAATTATATGGGATGTACTTATCTGTTGTCAGGGTGACTTCACCTCATTTCTCTTCATAAAAACTGTCTGTGGTGGAAAGCATTGTTATACTGTTCTGAACATTTGAGCCACCTATATAGTTATAGGTTTTGGTTTCATTATTTCCGTTGTTAATAGTGCTTTTCAATGAAAATGGCCTGCCCAAAAAATAATATATTATCATATAATAATTATAGGCCATTAAAAAAAGAATTATGATGAGCTTAGTTTATTTTCTGGCAGAGAAATGTGAGGTATTGTAATATTAAATAAAAAGAGAGCCTGAGCCTTAGTCGTGGGTCCTTAAGGACAGCTGCACATCTGTCTCTATGTCCTTGTCTCAGAGAGGCAGACTATGATTGGATAGTGTTGCAGAGAAATGGGCCTGTTAGAGAACAGGAGGCTCAGACAGGCTTTGTCTGCCTCACAATAGAGACAGAATAATGTATCCGCCTGTCCCCTATCAGTTGAACATCTCAGGTGACATTTGCATTGTTACTGTTCTGTATGTGTCATTGAGTTGCCTTTGCACCTCCTCAAATGAGTTCACATGTTTAGACTGCACTTCACTCAAGACCTCCTCTATTAAATCAACGGTTTCTTTAATGAAACATCCTGATGTCTGACAGTGTCTGATCGTCCTTTCTATTGTGTTTAAAAACTTTTCTGACTGATTCTATAAATTAGTGCAGGAAGATCTCACAGCAACACAATTATACCAGCAGAGCACATATATCTAAATATCTAAGGAATGTCATTGCTTTTGTGCTTTTTGGGCATGTGGAGAACATCTTTTATGAAACCTTTGTCAGCTCAGAACACAGGATGGGAGAGCAGCTGAGTGCAGACACAGGGGGTTACACCTGCAGGGAGAAAGATGGAGGAGAAGTTAAAAAAAAAGAAAAAAAAGATAGAGAAATAGTGAGTTATGCATAGGTGTGAGGAAGCAAGGTGAAAAGTACAAAGGGAATAGAAGATGTGAGAAAGAAATGCATGGAAGAAAAAAAAGCAAGTATGGCTTATACAAACTTTCATCCATTCATCCATCCATAAGTATCGTCATTGATAAAGATAGTTATTTAATTATAATAAAATTACTTTTATTTAACCATAACGGGGGGAGAACCTATTAGAAAGAAGGTAGATCAGATTAGGATGACGTAAGAAAAGCCCTGAAGAGGATGAAGAGCGGAAAGTCAGTTGGTCCCAATGACATACCAGTGGAAGTATGTAAGTGTTTAGGAGAAGTGGCGGAAGATTTCCTGACTAGGTTGTTTAACAGAATTTTAGAGACTGACAAGATGCCTGATGAGTGGAGGAAAAGTGTTCTGGTGGGTGATGTGCAGAGTTGTAACAACTACAGAGGGATAAAGTTGATGAGTCATACAATGAAGATTTAGGAAAGAGTAGTGGAAGCTAGGTTGAGGCAGGAAGTAGAGATTTGTGAACAACACTATGGTTTCATGCCTAGGGAGAGTACCACAGATGCAATATTTGCCTTGAGGATGTTGATGGAGAAGTACAGGGAAGGTCAGAAGGAGCTACATTGTGTATTTGTAGATTTAGAAAAAGCATATGACCAAAGTCCCATGGGAGGAATTGTGGTTTTGTATGAGGAAGTCAGGAGTGGCAGAGAAGTATGTTAGTTTGGTGCAAGACATGTATGAGAATAGTACAACAGTGGTGAGGTGTGCTGTTGGAAGGACAGAAGACTTCAAGGTGGAGGTGGGACTACATCAAGGATCGGCCCTGAGCCCCTTCTTGTTTGCTTTTGGTGACAGATGAGGTCAGACAGGGTCCCCATGGACTATATTGTTTGCAGATGACTGTGATCTGTAGTGAGAGTAGGCAGCAGCTATAAGAGAACCTAGAGAGGTAGAGGTTTGCACTAGAAAGAAGAGGAATGAAGGTCAGTCTAAGCAAGACAGAGTACGTGTGTAAACGAAAGGCAGAACAGTGAAATAGTGAGGTTACAAGGAGCAGGAGTTTAGATACTTAGGGTCAACTGAAACAGTGATAATGTGACACTCAGAGCAGCGGAGACTGTGGAAGAGAGGTGAAGAATAGAGTACAGGCAGGATGGAACAGCTGGAGAAAAGTGTCAGGAGTGATCTGTGATAGAAGAGTGTCAGCTAAGGTGAAGGGAAAGGTTTACAGGACGGTGGTGAGACCAGCCATGATGTATGGATTAGAGACAGTAGCAATAGACAGAAGACATGTGACGGAGCTGGAGGTGGCAGAGTTAAAGATTCTAAGATTCTCTTTAGGAGTGACAAGGATAGACAGGATCAGGAATGAGGTCATCAGAGGGACAACACAGACAGGAAGATTTAGAGAAAAAGCTAGAGAAGCCAGATTGACATGTGCAGAGGAGGGACAGTGGATACATTGGTAGAAGAATGTTAGAGATGGAGCTACCAGGTAGGAGACAAAGAGGAGATATATGGATGTAGTGAGGGAGGACATGCAGTTAGTTGGAGTCAGAGTAGAAGATGCAGCGAACAGAGAGAGATGGAAATCAATAATTCGCTGTGGCAACCCCTGAAAAAAGGGACAAAGCCGAAAGAAAAAGAAATATGGTTTGTCGAAGGAACTATTAGAAATGCAGAATGTTACATTTTTGGCCTGGTCTTAATTGTATGGAGCCCCTTAAGGGACATGGGAAAAAAAAGAAAAGAAACGTATCTCGTGCTCACGAGATACTTTCTTGTGCGCGAGAGGCCTTCCTGTGTCGAACTGAGGTATCTATATATACAGTACATACTGTATGTAGGCTAAATAGAATAAAATATTTTCCTTTCTCCCAGCCTTTTAAATATGGGTTTATGTTCATTTTCAGACTGAAAACTGGACTTAAAAGGACACAAATTATGCAGGATTGACTTTGTAAGGGATTTTGGTGCATGCATCTGCATCTCTGGAGTGACTGCCTACTCCTTAAGTGCCAGCTTTGAAAACTAAAAACATATTTTGTGGTTTGTAGAAAAATAAGCACTGTGAAACACCCAGCTTCATTCTTGGACCAAAACCTTTCTTCAGAGCTTCTCTTTCTTCCTCTGGGTCTGTCATATGTGCCAGAATGGTACATGTGTCACATGGGGGCATCAACATGGCAGGAAGCAGGCAGGACCCAAATGCAGTACTGGTGCAGGTATTTTATTTGAAGGTTCTAAATTCCAAAAACCAGGACTGAAGCATACACAAAGTCGAGCAGAGCTGAGAACACGAAGAGAGTTGAGCACAGCAACAGACTTGCTCAGGAACAAACTAGGAACACAGTTCTACAACAAAAAGCTCGACACAACGCTGGCACGAAGGATACAGCACTCACAAAGACAGCACTCTGAAAACAGTCACTAACTTACACACTGATCCAAACTACAATGATCCAACAAGGGCAGATTGAGGGAGAGATGTATATATACACACAGGGAGCACCAGGTGACACAAGTGAGGCTAATTACAAACAGGTGAGTGTGATCACACAGATTACCACACACAGCAGGAAAAGAAAACAGACAGACATGACAACATGCTACCGTTAGAATGACACTTGATTGAGCATGCACCTGTTAGAATTTAAGTTCTGGACTATTTAGAGCACCTGAATATAGGCCGCACCCACTTATTTAAAAAAAATTAAAAATAATTGTACATACGTATATAGGCAGCACCTCTCTATAAGCTGCAGGTGTCCACATGGTAACATGGGATATTTAGACAGAAAGATGTATTTATTTTCACTTTTATTAAATAAATACCTTTTCCGAACTGTGTCTATAACACAGCTGGTTTCACTTTAGCTCTTTCCTGCTTTGGTGCCCCGACCATAGTTGGAATGCACTGGGGAGACTCAGCAATCTGCTCCAGGGCCAAAGCTAACATTAGCTCTGGGGCTAACTCCTTTATGCTTGTCCACAGCAGAAACAGGGAAGTTGGAGTCTTTATTATCAGCCACACCGAACACAACAGAACATAAACAGCGTTTTAACAGCTCCTGTAACCAACTCACGCTTCATCATGACAGGGCTCAAACTGTTCTCAACATTCACTACCTCTCTCTCTCTCGTGTGAGCCCTACGCACATGTACGCACACAGCCATTCACAGACAGACATACGCTACTAGTATAACACATACTAGCCTACCAGAAAAGTCATTGATCGCTAGCAGTATGAACTTCACTAGACCGTAAAAATCCATAAATTAGCCGCGTCATTATTTAAGCCGCAGGGTTCAAAGCGTGTGCAAAAAAGTACCGGCTTATAGTCCAGGAATTAAGGTAAGTGGGCTGCAGCCACCGCGTGGTGTGGTGAGTGCTAAGTAAACAGTTGTAAAGTTAATTTATCTCTGTTCAATCCCTCTTTTTGTTGTTTTCAACCAAATCATGTTGCTAACATTTAGACATTAAGGAACTCTTAATTAATTTGCATAATAGCTGCATTGAGTGTCTAATCTTTGTGCTTTTAAGGAAGTACACAAAGTTTTCATGTATTTTCCTTTACTCACCATTTTTTTTCCTCTTCCTCTAGGGCTATCTGTCTGAGGGTCTTGTTACCAAGTGGTACTGTTCCCCTCGTCTACTTCTGTCTCCAAACAACTACACCAAGGCCATTGACATGTGGGCTGCAGGCTGCATACTGGCAGAGATGCTTACGGGACGCATGCTATTTGCAGGTATTTTTTAATTTATTATTGTCAATCCCAGAGCTGTGACCATGTAACCGTAAAAAAAATGTCATTGCTTGTCTGTATTTGATATTATCATATATAATTATTTAATTCATAGTCATAAGGAATGTTTTACTCTTGAAGTTGGTTTATTTTTGGTTAATGTTTTTCCAGGTTCTTACATATAGTTTATTGTTTTATATACAGTACGTGTCTAAATGTCAGTCAGCTTTAGGCATAAAAGTAGGTACATTGCATGTTTCATAAACATGCTTATGCTTACAACTTGTGCATTGTACTGGATGTTAATGTGAATAATTGTGAGAACTGCTGTCATAGACTGTAGTGGATATTAAAATTAAATCATATATGGCCTATTTTTTTATAGTCAAAATGGTCAAAATTAAATCAGAATTCATTCATCTGATTGACTTCAATCAGACTACCCAGCAGTCAATAGTTCCTGAAAGCCGAGGTTCAGGAATGGTGCCAAGTGCTGTCAAAGTAGAGGAGGTGCCATTGTTAGCATGGATTTTCTTTTATTCTCTAATGTCCTCCAATCCAGACATTTGATTTCCTGCAGGCATTTCTTTGCCTGAGTACAACATCAAGATTTGCAGAAAGTTTTAGACTGAATCAGAGTTTATTCTATCACCACTATCTATCATCATCTTCAATATAATTGGTCCATTGGACGTTCCATTGTGTAACATCGCCTCCTGGCGATCTTAAACAATTAAAAGGACAATTTTAACTTCATGAATACAAGACCGTAGTCGCAGCACTCATCTAAAAACGGCATCGGGTGGTCAGATACACAAACACAGTTTCTGCATAGATATAGGGTTATTTTAGAAAGTGAGATTCACACTAACATCAATTGTGTAATAAAGAGCGGGAAAAAAATATGATACAGTATGCTCAGAGACACAACGTCTCACAAGCGCAATGTCCAATACAGTCCACTTTACTGTCTTTGAAAACTCCTAAAAAATGTATAACCTTATTTGGGAGAACTCTGTAATTACATAGACAAAAGAAACATATGACCTATTTTATTTATATTTTTTTAAATGCCCAAAAAATGATTCTGAATCATATACCAAGAGGAAGTAAAGGTGAATTTTGGTAAAACTCAGGGCAAATCCAGGATAATTTTTAAGGTAAAAGTATGACACAGAGGATCACCTCCAATTCTAATGTTGTTTTAATCTGTATATAACTGCTCATCGGTCTCTCATCTGATTGGCTGGCTTCCCCTGCAGGAGCTCATGAGCTGGAGCAGATGCAGCTGATTCTTGATTCAGTACCTGTGTTGAGAGAAGAGGACAGAGAAGACCTGCTGCAGGTAATGCTTCATGGTCTGCTGTACATGTTGAACAGACAAATGCCCAAATAGACATGACAGCTTGGAACATAATAAGAATTGGTGAAGACATACAACATAAACAAGATTTTATGATTGTATCATATCTTTAACTTATTTAAGACTACTTTACTGTTCTTTGATGGTTGATCAAAAGCTGTTTCCGCTCCTCTGATTATTTAAATTACAGCCATATTCTAAGTGAACAAGTTGAAGAAATCTTTTTATCCCACTCCTGTGTCAGCAGCCATTTAATTAATATAAGTGGATATAATATAAGGTAAGCTAATATCACGATAATCATCTAAATATTTACTCCAACAGCAGCTTATTTACAAGTTAATGAAATAATTCCCATTGTTATTTGAATTGTGAAATGTAATAAAAACACTCATTCATCATTTTGATCACAGACATAGTTATCAAAGTAATATTGTGTATGTACTGTGTTACCATGTTAGATGTGTCTGCATTTTTGCCTTTAAGTAGAACCCAATCAGTAGTGGTAATAAATGAAGATAAACCCCTTCCATGAGATAAAGGTTGTTTACCAAAAGAAATAACTGCAACTGAGTTTACAAATTTTTAAACCAGTTGTCTTCCTGCCACAGGTGATGCCTTCATATGTTAATCGTGAATGGAGGATCAATAAACCATTTTATGAACTCCTGCCTGAAGTAGACGCACAAGGTGAGCAGAGGCAGTGTGAACATTCATAATGTAATTTCAAGAAATTCATTCAAATCATCTGCCTCCCCTCTTCTTAGCTGTGGACTTTCTAGAAAGGATCTTAACATTTAACCCCATGGATCGGCTGACAGCTGAGGCAGCATTGTCCCATCCTTTTCTACAGCAGTACTCCTGTCCAGAGGATGAGCCCACCTCCCTGCACCCCTTTCACATTGAGGATGAACTGGAGGACAGGCTCATCACTGAGCAGAACCTCAGCAACAGTCAGGCCTCCAGCATCCACTGGGACAAGTGTGTAATTTTACACTGATTTGTACATTGTACAAGTACATTGCAATGAATCTAGTACAACTGTAAAACTGCTACTGTATGTGTTACTGCAGGTACGCAAACAGTTCGTCAGATGTGTGCTGGGATCAGTCAGGCAGGAGGTGTTGGTGCAGGCCTCTGGGTCACATGACCTCTGAACTGGGAGACACAACCGAGGACGAGGAAGTGCAGAGGGACCCTCGAGCCAGTAACACCTCAGTGATAGAGGAAGCTCAGGTTTTTATTAAATTTGCTTCCTATCTTTTATAATAAATTTTGATTTAGCGATCTACAGATCACTGAAGCCTAATTCTGTGTAACTGTGCAGCCCTCATTTTTTGCAGCCCTCATTTTTCATTATATTTTCATACTTCATACTGTTCAATGCATTTTAAAACTTAAAACTTTTGGATTTTTGACTTGCAATAACCTTTATTGATCTGCAGAGGGAGCCATTTAGGTAATTTAAACACGCTTTCTTGAACAGCGAAGGATGCTGGAACGTCGTTATTGTTTTATGTAAATATGACCTACTAACTTAGTCGAAACATTTTCTAAAGAACAAGCATCTCATGACAGACATTGCTGCCCCCTACTGAGTCAATGTTTTATACAACGCAACTTCTATTCAAATTGAATGAGTGTAGTTCTATTTTATTTTTCAGTTAATTATTCAATAAGTTATTTCCTACTATACAATACACATATAGCGTCAATATCATATATACTGTGTATTTCTATATTTGTTTTTGTTTTTTTTCTGTGTAACGGTCAGCAGTCAAAAAAGTTTCAGAACAACTCAGTCCACTGTCATTTATCTTTTCTCTTTCCTCGTTACGTCCTAAACATTACCAATATCTCTTTTACAGGTAGATCCACGCAAATATTCCCACAGCAGCTCAGCCGAGCGCTATCTGGAAAATTCCTTCTCCTCTTTGGAACGGGCCTGCGGTTTGGGATATGGGGAACTGGACTGCGGCCGCTCATGTGATTACAAAGTGGGGTCTCCTTCATATCTGGATAAAATTGCCTGGAGGGAGGGCAAGCCTCAGCACTACTCAGAGCCTAAGCTCATACTGGATCTGTCACACTGGAAGCGAAACACTCATCACAACCTCACTGTGCCTACTCAACTTGTTGGTGGCAGTGTGGAGGACCGCAAAGAGGTGGAGAAAGAATTGAAAGAGGACAAGGAAGACCAGGAGGAGACGGGGGATTTATTCCAAGAGATCTCCCGCTGGGTTCAGAGCACCAAGTCTCGTCTGCATTCACCCAGTCAATCTACTGCACCACTTTCATCCTCTTGCTGCACTTCCTCTCCTCCACTTCCCCTCTCCCCAATTGACCTCTCAACTACAGTCTTCCACTATACTGACATTGTACAGCAGCAGTCAGCTGATTGTGATTTAAGCAGACTAGAAACACATCTGCCCATTACTTCATCAAACCCTTCCCTTCCCTTTTCCCTTCACCCACTCCTTCCCTCAACTCCTACATCTCTACCTCCTCCTCAGCCAGTTGAAAATATGTTACCCCCCTCACCAATCTTTCCTCTGCCAGCTCTTCAGCCACCTTCCTCAACTGCATCCATCTCCGTGCTAGTGAATGATGACTCCTCTGAGTCACTTCCTGTCAAGCAAAAAGACAGGCTCTTCGATTTGGACATGTTCATATCAAGGGCACTGAAACTTTGTA